TTCACCATCTTACTCATATACTAATGGTGGCAAGCAATCTAAGGTAGGAGTATAAATGGCCTGCATTTGTATAGCGCTTTACTAGTCCCTATAGACCCCAAAGCTCTTTACACAACCCATCATCCACCCATTAACACACACTGGTGATGGCAAGCTACATTGTAGCCACAGCCACCCTGGGGCGCACTGACAGAGGCGAGGCTGCCAGACACTGTCGCCACCGGGCCCTCTGACCACCACCAGGTAACGGGTGAAGTGTCTTGCCCAAGGACACAACGACCGAGACTGTCCAAGTCGGGGCTCGAACCAGCAACCTTCCAATTACAAGGCGAACTCCCAACTCTTAAGCCACGATCGCCGCATTAATGTACTGTTGCTGCTGTTTTTATATGGGACATTTGGCAGAGATTAAATGTCACGTATCACACAAGGCCATAGCCTGTCAGGGGGCACCCAGATTTGAACTGGGGACCTCTTGATCTGCAGTCAAATGCTCTACCACCGAGCTATACGTCCTCGCATGTGCCAGTCTGCAGGAAGGAACAATCTAGAGCAGAGGTGTCAAACTCAAATACACAGAGGGCCAAAATTCAAAACTGGAACAAGGTCGCGGGCTAAAGTTAATATTTATTGAAAAAAAAAATCTTCCTCCAGATATAAGAATGAATCTCTTCTTATGGACTCAAACAAGTTTTGCTGAAAAACTGAATATGGAACAAGAAAAGCTTAATACTAAACAATATATATATTAGCTGTATAATACCAGTAGGCCAGCTCTAATAATAATTTGGTATGGCTTCGCGGGCCAAATGTAACTAGGCTGCGGGCCAAATTTGGCCCGCGGGCCAGAGTTTGACACCTATGATCTAGAGTAAATTTCCCCAACATTCAACTATTTAGGCTCATCTTTAAATGCCACTGAGCCAAATATGAGTTTTGTTGGTTTTGGTTTTGTCAGTGTTACCCGAACAGGGAAACACGTGTTGTTTCTTGGCTGTACAAAGACCAAAAGATTCACAAAGTCTCATTAACACAATATTCTCTCAGTAAAAGAGATGCTCAGATTAGCAACAATGTTATCTATGTGGGGTTGTTGTCTGAAAAGCAGTGTGTACGCTCTGTCACTTCTTCCTGTACAAAGCGAAGGCGGTCCTCAGCATTTCATACTCATGGACCTGGCGACGGCTGTGCTCTACAGCTGCTTCACACTCGCTGCCTCATTGTTCCGTTTGCATATTTAGCTGCTCTGTTCCACTTCCCCTGCTGTTGATGTTGGGAAAACACACACAACAATACAGCTGTGAGGCAGCTGCCCGCCCTCTCTTTTCCTCTCCTCTCAGCATCCCCCTGCCTTTTCCTTCTTCCCTTGCTTTGACTCAGCGGTCTCTCATTCGCTTTCGATCTCATTAAAGCTTGGTTTGAGAAAAAAAATTTGTAAATTGATTCACAGAGCTGTGACAATGTCAATGGGTACGCTTTTTTTCCCCAGAGCACACTTAGTATTTGATTAACACCAATCCTAATACAAAGTAGGGACCCAAAATAAAATATTTTCCTTTTCTTCTTCATGAAAACCTTGAAAAAAATACCAGATGTGACTCATACTTACCGCACAAGAGAGGGTGAGGTAGATGTAACACTAGCTAGCTTAGTTCTCTGGGAAGTTTAGTGTTAGCAATGCTAACACTTCCGACTTACAATCACTCACTGCTAATTGCTCACACAATGATAATGACTTGCTATATTATTGGAAAGATAATGGAATTAAAAATGCTTCACAAGGAACAAATACCACTTTTATGTTTTATGGCTAGCTGTTTTATGGCTAGCTTCAAAAGCTAGCCATTCGCTGAAGTCCACTGTGTGACATTTCCAGTTTTCTTCCATTTTCATCCTATAACACAGTCCTCTGGCTAATGAAACACCATCTGAATGCATCAGTTCATCATAACAATAATTATAACATTTTATTTACTAGAATGGAAATACATCAGAATATTTCACTGTGCAGGATGAGTTTATGGAGTTAAAAATAGAGCAGATATTAGAGCAGATGAAAATAAAGTATAAGTCTTCAGTGATCCTTAAATGCCTACTTCAGAGTTTATCTTTGCCCATTTTTCTTCATTGTGACCCCACTTGGCTTTAAACAAAGGAGAGATTTTTAACGATAACTCGTGTATCCCAACAAAACTTCTCAACTTTTGATCCTATAGGATATAACAGGAAAATAACATTCAATAGCCCTAAATGAGACAGCCCGCCAAGATAGCAGCAGGACAAGCTTCCAATGTTGTGTGTTAAATCTTTGACACGAGCTTGAACTTTGGTAGGAGCGCAGCATTTGTTTTCTTCATTCTACAACTGGCTGTGGTGAAAGAGGAAGTCAGCAAGAGGAGAGAGGGGATGAAATTTCCCCTTTTAATTAGATAAGGATATTAGACAGGAAGTTAATTAACGCTCTTACACAGACTCACATGTGCAGCAAGGTTTAAAAAAAGAAAGAGAGTGTGAGAGTGAAAGCAAACGAATGGTACGATAACCTTCATGTGGTACAAGCCAGATATGCTGTTTGAATTAAACCAACTTCAGCTACGAAATTTGAGGCTGAAACTTCCTTTGATTACTTGTTTGTTGCCGCTGGTCAAAGGAAATGAATTAGTCTTTTTTGTCCGTATTCAGTTTTTGAGGGGTTTTCTTTAGTCTGATCTTATTTTTGCAACCACGCGAATGTGGATCCTCCAGTAAACATATTTATTTCCAATTCATAATGAACACACAAAATTCTAAAATGTCAAAAAGCTGCAGCTGAATTTCTACGAACATTATTGCTAAGGATTGTCTTATTGCATTGGAGTCACACTGGGTTAAGGGGTATTTATTATTTTCTTCTTTTTTTGGGTTGTATGGAAGCCCCAAACGCAATTTCATTGTTCTTGACAATGACAATAAATAAATACTACTACATACTACTACTACCTTGAATGTCCACTTGAGACTTCTTTCGGAGATTTTGAGGTGACTGTCGTAATTTGGCACTATATTAAAAAAAACTGAATAAATAGAATTGAATTGAGTATATTTTCAGTGCAGCTCTGTTGCTTTTGTTTCACTGTCTTATCAAAATGACTTTGCAGGTGAGTTTGTGCCTCCCCTGGCTTTGACATGCCACAAACAACAGAGGCTGTATTCGCACATCTGTGTCCCCCAGTGTCACGGACAGCTGTGCAAGCTGTTCTGCAGTAGTTCACCTGCTCAAACACATGTGCGTGTGTGTGGTTTGTATCCTTCCTGTCTGACATACCAGGAATTTTATGCTGAACCTTCAGAACTGACAGCAAGCAGCGCTGTAAACGTGATACGCTTTCAAGTTGATACATGCACACAAACTGTATATGCACCATGCTTTCATTATTACATTTGAGAGGTCACACTTCATCCTGTCATTGACAGCAGAGTTATCCCAAGGTCTGCCAGTTTGCTAGTGTGTAAGTATACGTGCATGTGTGTGCATGCGGTCCAAGAATAGCTAAAGAGGGATGCCTGCTTCCTCTGTCTTCCCTCAGCAGTGAGGAAGAATCTAACGTGACTCCCGGCTTCCATAGTGGTCCATCAAGCCATGACCCCAAAATGAGCTTCCTGGAAAACATTCACTGTCTACAGCGAGAGTGCATTTATCTTCAAGTCACCAAGCTTCTCAGTTCAAAGCAAAAATTGTTTTTTCTCCCCAATAGAGCAGGATGACTTTCTAAAGGCCAGTAAAATAAAGCCCTTTGATGCTCTTTTTTAAAAAGAAAAAGAGAAACATGCCATAATAGTCCATCTTTAAAGCCTTGTAGGTAAAGTTCTGTACCAGAGGATAATGTAAATCTTACTAGTACTTTTAGATATTCAAAGTGCTGACGGCTTATCTCAGCAGGATGAAAAATAATTTGCCTGCAGTCCTTTTGAAAACATGTGAAACAAACGTGATAAGAATCAGCTTGTCCTGATGCTGCGGCAGTGTGTGAGGACAAACCAAGGTATTTTGCATATTTTGCACATTCTGACATTCTCGGTAGAGCAAGAAATCTGAATTTGTCGTTTTTTTAATGTGTCTGACAGACAGTCCATCTCTATCTTGGTAACAGGTGGAGTTCACCTTGTCTAAACAACTGAAGCAGCGCAGCCAGTGAAGTGCTTTCAAAATGCAATCAAAGGATTGTCTGGACTTTCTGCTTCTGTTTGGTTTGTGCTGTTTGCTAACCCCCACCCCCAGTCGTTCAATCTAAACTATAATCCAACCAGCAAATGCTTAGACTTTTTAGTGAAACTGTTTGTTTGAGCTCTGACTCTTAACTTTATAAAGCGGGCTGAATTTGCTGAACACATCTCTTTTCTCATTCTCATATTCTAAAAGTGCCGCAGTGGATTATCACTGAGATGAAAGGAAAAAATCCCCAGCTGAACCACACAGCTGCATTTTAATATATGGCGTAAAGACTTTGTCACCAAATATGACAGTTTGACATTATGAACACAGACTGAGACTGAGATTTATTCAGATGGAAATAATATTCGATCTATTATAGTACAGACTTTCCCTTTAAGAGCACCCACAGGCTCTTGGGTTTCCTTGCGACTAATAAGAAGGTGGCAAAAAGAGAAAACCGAACCCCCGGAGAAAATTTTACGACTTTTACGTCAATTGCAACTTGGCAACATAAAGATACAAACTTCCGCAGGAAAACCTTCAAAATAAAATTTTCCCACGCCGTATATGTTAATAAATGAAACGCTGTGTCTTAGAATTTAGTGGAAATTCGTGATTTGAATGGATTCCTACGTAGAATATCGCTATATCATGATAAATACGAGGCTGAATGACTACCAAAACACGAATAGTTTCTTTTTTAAATTTCAAATAAGATGCTTTCCGGTACGAGTTCATTCCATCAGTCGAGCTTGATTATTAAACTTCAAGCTGTTTCGATTCGGAAAAGCGACTCGCCGCTCGAGTCGCAATCAGAGAGGAGAGAGGCACGACGGGAGAGAACAACCTGATCCAACGGATGAACGATACGTGCGAGCGCCCGGAGGAGGAACAGACACGCAGCCAAGCACGAGACATAAAAGAGCCGCTATTAACGAGAAACGCGCTCGGGTTTTGCAGTGAGATAAACGCGCTGGGATAAGAATAATCTGACTTTTATTTCACAGCAGAGTCCAGAGAATTACGCGCGACGCGCAAGTCCAAGGTGAACCAACTTTTACGCACGGACCTTTGGAGATGTGGGGCTCAAAATGTTACCATGAAGTTGCATCATTGTTACATTTAACTGCAGTTTTGGAGCGAGAACTTGCGATTTAATCAGTTTTACTGGATTTTTTTTTCTTATCCAGAAAGTGGACGAATCGAACACCTTGGCACACGCGCACGAATCTTTTTATTTGCATATTTGGAGGACGTTATTTGGACTGTCTTTTGCATTACATGCTGATATAACAGGAACTGTGTAGCTGCATTTTTTGTTGTTTCCCAACACCCGGCGTTACGCACTTAGCGCACTGTAAGGTACCCTTGACGTCTCCCGAGTTTTCTAAAAAAGCGGTATGGACAGAGTCAGACGTCTAGCCTGCGCGTGAGTCACCGTGAGCAAACATTTGGACAAGCGGCGCTTGTAGGCAGTGACACATTTTGGGATATTTAACAGTGCGTGCTTTGCACCAGAGGTCAGCACACAACACCGGGAGGACGCTCGGTGCAGCCGGGGGATTGGACACCGAAGTGCTAAATGCCCAGCCGGTCGCTTGCGGCTCCTCTGGCTGGGCGGAAACATGAGGTCCTGGGTCCTGGTGCTGCTGCTGGCTGCGCTTTTGGCGGCCCGTCTCCGGCTCGGCAGCGCTGAGGTAAGACTGTGGGACTTGCTGGTAAATATTTACGAGAGGACACAGGTTAAGAATCAATATAGTCGCACTGTTGATTTAAGGATGATGGAGGTAGTAAGACCGAGGTGATCTGTCTTGAAAAGCAACCACAACAAAATTAATTTTGATTTAAGATTGGTATTTTATATTTGTAGCAAAACTTTTGTCCGCTTTTTTTTTAATTTAAAGGCTTAAACATTATGTCTGCGTGGGAAAAATGGTTGGCTTTAGGGTCACCCGTGAGACATCCAGGACACACTGAGAAGCCTGCAAAAGGTCATGAGTTTGAAACCATTAGCACGTAGATGTTTTGGATGGGACTGGCAGGGATATCTTTCTTATTCTGATCGTTACTAACCTGAGAATACAGTTTTCCAAAGGTAGGATTTAATATCAGTGAAATAACAGTCAACACGGTTGTGAGTTCATGTTCAGACTCTGATATGTCACATAGTGAGCCAACGTGAATTCTTGACTTGTGAGTAAGTGTTTGACATATATTACTCCCTGAGGTGATTCTGCGAACGGTTGGTGGATGTTTCCTGTTACACATTATGGGCCAAGTAAAAGAGAAAATGTAAAGTTTGTGTGTTTATATGGGTGAACCTGTGCACGAGTCTGTTCAATAATCTCTGTGTGCCTCTGCAGCTTGTGCATTATCTGCTTCTCTCTCTGTCACGTTTTGAGAAGGTCATATTCCCGATGTATTGAGCGTAACAGTGCCACAGAGAGAGCGGGGAAGCCAGGTTGAGGGTGGGCCCTTGGCTAGTGGCCCAGCATCAGGAGTTATACCAGTCTAAAGATGGAGCCAAAATCCATCCATCAACATAGCTGTTGTTTTTGTTGTCATGACAAATACACCAAGGACCTCTGTCGCCACACCTTTAAAATCATCTTTCTATGGAATTGATTCTTTAAGGATTCCCATTTTTCCAGCTGCTATGTATATCTCTGCGAACAGAAATGCATAGTTGGCCAAATAAAGACTGTACATGTATAATTACAGTAAAAAAAAAAACCAAACATAATGTGTAAATACCTTATACATATGTAGTAGTTGTTTGGACTTGGTGTGGACCACTTTAGCACATAATCATGATCACAAGAATATTTAACCAGCTGAGACTTCCCCTTACGAGATGGTGCACAAGTGTTTTGCAGTGTCATTCATTTGTTTGCCTGGAGCCCTGGAAAAAAAGAATTCACATCTAAATCACAAAAAATGTTGGCACCTTCTAAACACCCCCGTGAGTGTTATTTGAGTAAGGTCAAGCTACATTTTTAGCTCTGCTTAAACTCAACGATTAAGTTGATACAAGAAATATAGTGTCACAGTTAACATGCCAAAAGATCTAGCCCAGTGTTGCATGAATGTCACACTTAGTCATGTTAACACTTCTATTCAGGATAGCCTCCTACATGGTTAGCTCTGTCCAAGGCAACTCAGTACATGCATATATGCAGTATATACATTGTTTGCGTTGTAACACCGTCGAGGTGAATGAAAGTGTGACTAGACCTTAGTTGACCTGAAATTTTGTGTGATCTCCTTTTTACCAATCTCAGGTTCTCTTCCTCAAAACCACATCATCCTGTAAGGGTTGGAACCAACAAATGGAGTCTTCCTTTATACACTTAGAACATTTACTCTGAATAAACGAAGGCTTCAGTGTTGCACAGTTCACCTTTGACAGTGTGCTACTGCTTCAGAGGTTCAGTAACTTCACTGTGTTGAACCCAAGTATGGTGTGAGTTAGATTTGTGGCCCCTAGATTGTAGGCCAGCACACTTGGGTTAATTAGCATTATGAATTTACTTGTTAAGTCAGTGTATCTCTCAGTGTTTGGCCCACTCGTTGCAAAATGAAGTCTTTGGCTGTCTTAGTTTGGTCACATCTATTGGTGGAAAACACTTCAATCACACGGAGGTAATCCAGCTACATCGTGACATTGCAGGTTGATGTTATCAGTTAAACCCCAAATCTTTATTTTAATTTATGTGGCAAGAACTGTTTTTTCTGCCTGCTGTTAAAGGGTAATGCAGTCAAACTGTCACTTCTTTTGCATCAGCATGCATCAAACAGGTACAAGTGTGAATGCACAGACAGAGTTGTTACATTTCATTTTTAAAAAATCCATTTAAATGGAACTGGAGTCAAATACACAAAAGCCCCCACGCATCAGGTCAGACCTTAATTCTTTCATCTTCTGCTGTTCAAATCACAGATGCTGATTGGTGGCTGCTGAACAGGTTGTTGTCTGACTATTGTCTCTGCGGGCGAGCGGGGATGATTTGCTGCTGCTGCCTGTCGGCTTGATCCATTTTACATAAGAACAACAACTAATCTGCCAGGGATTTCATGGACTTTGTGTCCCGTGTAGCGGTGTGTGTATTTCTGTGGTGTGTGTGCACATCTGGATACGTGACCGGGCGTAGCTGTGTATGTGTTAGCGGACATATGTGCTTGTGTTTTTTTGTATTTGTGTGTACTGCAGAGGGGTTATGCCTCTGAGTGAGTGCATGTGTGTCAAATAGAAAAAGTGCAGTGGCACATAAGAGTATTTGTTTGTAAGCCTGTGCAGTTCATTTTTAGAGAAAAGTCAGTCTTATGTAATGCAGAATGAAAATGAAAAACAATGGAAATATTGTAGACTGTATATAAAAGATGGCAGTAGCCACTGCGATACCGCCGTTGTTTTGTGGGCTACCATTGGAGGGTCCAGCTCTAATATAGTTTAGTTTACTTTTGCAGTATTTTTTAATTTGGTGATGCTTTCTTAAGTTACAGTGTTTTGACCTCTCAGGGCCACCGTAATAATAATAATATATTGATCCCTGTGGGGAAATGCCTCTCTGCATTTCACACAGTGAAGCAATGGGCAGCCACCAATCTAGCACCCAGGGAGCAATGTGCAGGGACAGTACCTTACTCAGGGATACCTCAGGGTAGCCGTTCAGTGGATTTGAATCCCTGACCTTCTGATCATGGGGCCACGGCTCTACCTACTGAACAATCCCATAAAGATAATAAAGAAGTTAATAAAATAGCAGTCAGGCTTTTACTTTGAAACAGGTTACTAGCCCCTTACATAGTGAAGACTTATCCTGAGTGGTTGAAGTCTATTATTATTTTTATTATTTTTTATCATTAATTCAACTCTATTTGGAGTGAAATGTTTGAAATTGCTTGGGCAAAACTGTCAGGCCAAAATCCAAACAAGACTGCTGAGACAAAGAGAAGCAGCAGCTCACAAGTGAGGAGCTGAGAGGAAAGACGATCTCTCAATTTTGTTTGACAAGTGACTAAATGGCTAATTAAGTTATTATTTCCACCTTTTGGTTACTGTGCAAATAATGTGTGTGTAGAACTCCCTTGAGTTTTCAGTGCGGTTTGATTAATTTATTACGCAACGTGCAAACACAAGATTCACTTAAAAGTCGCCAAATTATAGAAGTGGCACTTGCTGTAATGATCAGACTTGTGTAGCTGCAGTCACTTTGTTCACATCTCCTCCTCCTTCTTATTCTTCCCATCTCAGCTCATCTCTTCTCCCGCCCGTCCGCTCCCCCTTGTCCTCATGTTGGCTCCCCATCCATCATCCGTACCCTCATCTCTGCAGTCATGGTTGGATTGTGTGTGTGTGGGTGTGTGTGTGTGTGTGTGTGTTGGGTGGCGGTCATGATCTTTGTATTCAGCTTGTTTGTATATTTGTGCATAAGTGAGAGAGTTCCCACTGTTGTCTTCAAGTCTATCAGTTTATTTAGTAGTAAGTTGGCAGTCTGCCTCATCTTTGATAAAAGGAGGCATGTGTTGTGATACCACGGTGTGATTATGAGTCAGTAGCGACAGATATAGATTTGCTGTTATTTTGTGTTTATTTTTTTCCAGGGTCTGTGCTTCTGATTCCGTGTGTGTGTGTGTGTGTGTGTGTGTGTGTGTGTGTGTGTGTGTGAGAGCAGTCAGCTGGCCCCATAATTACATTCCATTACACTTCGCCTTTCTCCTCAAACATTCCATGCAAGCTCTTTGCCTTCCAGGCTTCCTCACAGGCCCCATGCAGTGTGTTATCACGAATGTGTGTATGACCTCCTCGCAGACCGTGACATCCTATATACGCTTATTTTAACCCATAAGCTCAGCCACACACACTCAGCAGAAAATAGATTTGTATAAGCCAGGATATTTAATTTAAGCGATTTGAGCGATTTTCTGCTCAAACCACTGTTTTTAACTTGTCCTCTCAATCGTGTTCCTTATTTTTATAACCAGGGGGTTGTTGCATGTCCAAGTGAGAAACTATTCCCTGTCTCACTGCTCAGCTCTCTAATTTCTCTGTGAGTGTTTGTGCCTGCATGTGTTTGTGTGCATTTGCAATTAGCACTAGGGCTGTAATGAGAGCTTCTTGCATAGTGGAAACAGCCTGTGTGAGTGCAAGTTTGTGGCAGTGCTCGCTGGACAAATTTGGCAGACAGTTAAGTGGTTAAGCATCTGTACATAAACGGGAAAAGAGGGGGCGAGGTTGTGTGTGTAAGAGACTGTGAGTATGTGTATGTGTGTTTGCTTAACTAGGTCAGCCAGTGGCTCGTGAAAGTCATCCAGGTGTCCTGAGCCATCAACACCCACAAAGCAGACAGAAGGAGACAAAAGAACAGAAAGCTAGTCGGGGAAATGAACGTATAGGAGGCTATGAAATGATGATAAAAGAAATCATTCTGGATCAGACAGCGGATAGACTTTAAACAGGTGATCATCCTAAGGAAAACATTGATTTTAATTTTAATTCAGTTGTATTTATATAATGCCAAATCACAACATTAGTCACCTCAGGGAGCTTTATATTGTAAAGACCCTACAATAATACAGACAAAGCCCCCTTTTATGAAGCACTTGGTGACAGTGGGAAGGAAAAACTCCTTTTTAACAGGAAGAAGCATGTTGCAGATCCAAGCTCAGAGAGGGGAAGGGGTGAGGAGAAGGAGATGTTACACTGACTAATTTATTTATTCTTAGAGTGTATACAGTCATATCTGTCAGCTCATCTGAGAGACAGTGTTGGTATATTCATGACAAACGGGGAGTCTGTTTGGCAACAAAGAAGCAAACAAATAAAAACCACAGTGATCACTGAGCCTACTGTCATCAGGTAGTTTGAGAGGGAGCTAGGCCACTACACTGCCTCTTAGCTTTGTTTTGAAGCTTTAGAAAATCTTGTCCACTGATGGTAGGCTTGGATTTGGCTAATTGCAGGTTCAGCAGTCCAGCACGGCCTTACCTGGGAGGGTAGGGTTTCAATTGCTTGTTAAGTCTGTATTGACTTATATTTAGCCTGCATGAAGCACATGTAAAACATGTAACGGCTAAGAAGGTGGAAGATGGAGATGGAAGGTTCTTTATTGTGATGGTAGATATGGACTGATTCTTGTGTGGTGCTCTTCTACTCTTTTATACAACGTCTCTCATAAACACACACAATCATAAAAGGATTGCTTGTCTGTGTCCAAGTGCTTTCTATCAAACGTTCACACTCCGGTGAACAACTCAGGATTCAGTATCTTGCGTAAGGATACTTTAGCACGTTGACTGGAGGAGCCAGTCGAGCCACCAACCTTCTAATTAACAGATGAGCTGCTCTGCCTCTTCTAGATGTCTGCAGCATTAACATAGCTTTTCCAGACTTACAGCTTGCAAATCAAATATAATCAGAGTGAAGATCTGAATCTTTGCACTTGTGTGTGTGGAAAAACCTAACACGGGTGCTCCTAACAACATTAATGATGCTTCTGCTCAATTTAGGTGCAGAATTGTAATTGAAAACGGCTGCTTTGAAATGTAGAAAGGAATAAAGCAGAGAGGGTGCACACTGATGATGCCCCTCGAGTGCACCTCATCAGAAAGATCGGTTTACTGTTAAAATCACAAGAAACATCTCAAGTTTGGCGACCTTTGCATTTGCGAATAAGCTTCACAAAACCATAGGAGACACGTTGAGCAATTGGACAGTAAATCTGTAAAGACACAAGTCTGGTTTTACATAAAACTCATCTGACTAGCTGTGTCAGGAGAGATCCTGATCGTGATGACTGCTGCAGTTGAAGTGTTCACGGGAGACAAAACGGATAATATAAACACGTTTACGGCCACACATTTTTTCATCATCATTAAAGAGACCGTATCTACTTCGCTGCTTTCATTTTCCCGTCTCTCTCTGAGAGTTATCCACATGATCGTAACACTGCCTGATTTGTTTTGGCATTTTTCTGGCATGTGACACTATGAAGTGTTATTCCAACTGCTTGGAGATAGCGCGAACTTAGAGCCAACCACAGCAAAATGTGCCAATGACTTTTGAGTCATCCGCCTTTGATCTCGATAAAGAAACCACAAGGGTCTGCCCTTAAAAACAGCGACGCTGAATCCTTAATGAAATCGTGCAGTACTTTTCATTAAAACTTCATTCATTAATACATGACTTCTCTCTCTCTCTCTATTTTTTTTATTTTTTCGAGTAATAATGAGATTTCTTGCATAACTTAAAGGATATTTTTCATTCCTTTTTGTGTTGTTTTACAACACAAACTTCATGGTTTAGGCTGGTGGACTGCAACTGAACTAAAAGAACAAAAATGGTCAGGATTGATTCAGAGAAAAGGGGAAAAAGTCCTTGTGGGTAAACGGCCAAGGAGGGAGCAACAAACACCAATCACAACCATCATTTCCTTTGATGGAGGAAGCGAAAGTGGAGCAAATTTCAACTGGAGATCAAGGACTGAGATATTGTACGCCAGCCCTCGTGTCTCTCTCAATCCGCCAGCGCACAATTCTGTCTAGTTGTGTAACTGTTGTGATACATTTGCAACTGTCTTCTGCTGTTTCATGCACGTCAATCCTCTTCCTCATTTCGCATTGTGAGAAATAATCACCCAAATTAATTGAAGATCCGAACTCTTTAAAACACAGCGAGCCCGTGTATTCATGGTGTATATGTGTGGTGCTGTTTTCCCATGAATGCATTCTTTCCTCTACAAAGAGGACACTCCCTGCCTCCTGTGTAAAATAATAACTGTGCCACAGTTCAGGGTCAGGCTCTTGGACTTGAAACCCAGACTAGACCTGCATTTCCTTCCCAAACAAGACATGCAGCTAATTGCAATTCAAGATTGACCTTAGCCCTCAAACAGCCAATATAGTTCTTGTGCTGGTGTTGGAGTCGTGCAGGTTTTGTGACAAGGCACTTGACACCAGCTTTGTTTCACTAGCAAAATATCCACGCTGCTAATTGAGAAGGAAAAAAAGGGCAGTTTAGGTTTGACTTGCAGAGCTATCTCCTGATAGGCAAACATGCAAAGTGAGAAAAAACTGCCTTAAAGCAGATATCATAGTTTGTTCACAGATCCTGGGGAGTACTTCTTTATATAACTTTATATGAACATATGAAGCACCATTTCCCTTACTTAAACATGCCTCAACCTTTAGCAAAGTATGTGACAAGAAGGACGATGTATTTGGTGTGGAAGTCCTGATTTGGGACACACATCAGTTAAGTTTCCCATGATGCACTGAGTGTTTCTTCTTGACTCACCTCTTTTCATTCTCCGTGAGTTTATACACTACTCTGCATTTAGTCATTAGTTTTTTATCATTCATTTCTGGCTCTCTTCCACATGGTTCTGCCAGAGGTTTCTTCCTGTTAAAAGAGATTTTTTCCTTCCCACTGTCACAAGGTGCCTGCTCACTCTGGGGTTATCTATTGTTGGGGTTTCGTCTCTGTTTTGGGTATTGAATTGAACAGGATGCAATGTCACTTTGATTAGCGGCTTGGTAATCTTGCGTATCAAAGACACTTTGAGAAAGATGCTGAAATTCAAAAACCTCCACGTATCCATGTGTGTTCTATTTGCCGTAGGGCTTACCTCACAATAGAAGTTGTTTCCAAGCAAATTATTATGATTTACTACAAATGCTTGTGTTTTTCTCAACAGGGCGATCCACTCCCTTCATCTCTGGTCGACCTGGTGAGGAACTCTCCCATCTCCTCTGTGGAAGACCTGAAGCTACTTCTGCAGGAGGAGACCGATGCAATAGGTACTAATGACCACAACGCACACATGCACACACGCACACACGCACATATACAGAAAGTAATAAGACTGACGTGGAGGAGGTAAGCATTTGGGTGTAGCCACAGAACAGTTTGATGACAAGAGGAAAGATGGGAGGAGAGAGTAGCAGTGACCTTGTGTGTTTGACAAACTGAAAAGGAGAGAGAGAGAGAGAGAGAGAGAGAGAGAAAAGCCTTCAACACAAGGTCACTACATTGTTCTCCTGCTCTGGATTCCTCTCTTGGTTTTGAGTTATGGATGTTTGTATAACAGACACAGACCTCCCCCCGCTATGCCTGCACCCTCAAACAGAGTCCAAACTAAGTTGCCCACAAATGCGCACCAGCGGGTGATTAAAAAATTAATTATAGTCTTACCCTTTAGAGGACTCAAGTCACAGATACATATATTAATAGACAGACTTTTGATCATAATGCATAAATAAAACAGTGACATAACGTCAACCACAGAGAGGAACCAGCAATGGGAAGGATGCTCAGAAACAGGACACGAGGAAGTGACTCAAAGTTTGTTTTTATGGCAGATCAAACTATTTTTTCCCTTTTTTGGCTGAAGCCAGTTATTTTTTGAGTTTTAGTTTTATCAAGATTCTGAAATGACAAAGTACGAATGACTCATTTTACTGGTTATTTTTCTTTCTTTTTTTAAGCAATGCCAGTGTTCAAATTTAATTGTTCAGCATCTTAAATTCTGTCATGACTCAGTGGATGTTGGAACTCTGCTTCAGGTCTATCTTATTTAAGTTTGCTTTGTTCCAAACTTGAATCACTGAATTTTTCTCTGGTACTACTGAATGGTTAACGTTTGGGCTTTTCCCTGCACAAATAGGTTACAAAAGTTGTTTGACATCTTCAAAATGAGTGACGTAAGCCTGAGCTGTGCTTTGTATTTAGTGCAAATTATCCATTAAACTTTCATTGTGTATTGATAAATACAATACACAATAATAAACAATAATGCTGTGTTTAAAATCAATGAGGCAAAGAGTTGAACAGTTGAAGAGTTGACTGCTTTATGATGTGAAACTGGCGTAAACACCATCATGTGAAATGCTATTGTTACCATTCTTTTTGTTAGCTAAAATGCTAGCAAAGCTAGTACTGTTACTGTTAGCATTTAGGCACATGTTCATTAGCATTATGCTATGCTCAGAAATATATTTTTCTCAGTTTTGCATTTTCCATTTTCTCTGCAGAAGAGTTTCTTGTTATCGCTGTGTAAATATATGTACTCACTTTAATAAAAACATGAAAGTCTTGGCCCTCAGAAAGAAGAGATTTAACATGAAATAAAATGCTATCAGAATTAGCAGAATGAGCTACACAGCCTGCTGATTAGCCGACTAGCAAAAATTAAATGAGTCAGATATTAATATATGAATGAGGACGACAAGATTCAGCTCTCCAATCCAATTAGAAACAGACAAATATTCAGATAAAATGAGAAATTAGCCTCTGAGAACCTAACGATCTGCTCTCTGTCTGAACCAGGCAATTAATTTGTGCTGCCAAATAGCACTTCATACATTAATGTACTGCACGTAGACACACGGAGTAGCCACATGCAATCTATACCCAGGGATATAATTAGGGCTTAGAGGGTAGAGTGTGAAATGACGACATATGTGAGAGTGCAAACATACGCTCACAGTTCCATGCATGAGCTATATTTAACTGCTCATATCTCGCCTCAACAGTATTCTTGACAGCAGCGAGACAAATTGTAGCAGAAAATAGCCTAATTGTTTTAGTGGAGGAAAAAAATGGCTTCCTTTGTGTAGTGAACAATGAGTTTAGCTAAAAACTGCCCTAACGGACTTGCATGTTACAGGGTTTCTGTTGCCTGTGAAAGTGCTTGCTTAATTTTACCCAAGACTGCTATTAAGTTCACTGCTAACTTTCATCCTTTGATCCCCTCTCCTTTCTTCTTTTGCAGAAGAGGAAGAGGACGTGCATGATATTATCCCAAAAGGCACCCATGGTCGCTACATTAGAAGTCTTGGTAAGTTTCTGCATCTACCTTTTATCCCTCAAAATCATTTTTTTATTTTTTTTTATTTTTTTTACCTCGTATGCTAGTTCTACTATAACTCACAAATTCAACCATGCCTTTGCCTCTCTTCTCTCCTAACAGTGGAGGCGCAGCCAGCCCAGCAGGCGGCCTGTAAAGTGCGAACAGAGGTGATGGAAGTAACGAGGTCTATGCTAGATCGCCGCAATGCCAACTTCTTATTGTGGCCGCCATGTGTGGAGGTGCAGCGGTGTTCAGGTTGCTGCAACAGTCCACGGATGGAGTGTGTCCCTATAGTCACCTCCACCAGATACCTGCAGGTATGCAGATCATGCAGCTCCCATTAATGACTTCAGGGAGTAACTGAGAGTCACAAGTGGTTAATATTGTCTAATATATGGTTTTGGATGCACATTTACAGAATTATATAACATATTAGCCAGTTTAAAGGAGTACAAAGGCTAAAAGCTAGCCTAAGGTCTGAGTTGTGATTTTTATTTGATTGCCTGAAGTGACTTAGACTGACATTGTTAATTTATTTGCAACCTGAGTCTATGCATGACGCTTAAAGAACAGGTAAATCAACATTTTTTTCTTTTTAAAAAGAGAAAACAAGTCTTGACTAGGATCCATCAAATAGCCTGGAAATGCTAACGTGTCTGAAAGTGTCAACAGCAATTAGAGCTCTTTGCTACTCATTCAAAAACTTCCTCATTAAAAATACAGAGATAATTTCACAGTTTAGTTCTGTATTTCTGATTTTTTTAAAATCACAATCAGTTGTGCTAATTTTGTGATCTTTTTCCACCTTTTTTATACCAGGTGATAAAGATTCAGTACATTAACAAGAAGCCCCATTATGAAAAACCCATCATCCCAGTGGAAGATCACGTCAGCTGCAGGTGCCAGAGCCTGTCCTCCTTTTCCTCCTCATCTGTTCCCTCTAACCCCATTCCTCCTCCACCTCCCCCACAACAGCCGCCACTGTCCTCTCACGTTCCCCGGCTCGTTCAGCCCCCTTCACCCAAGACTCAGACCTCCAAGGCTGACCTCCATCGCCACGATGACCTAAAGTACAACCAGCAGCATTACAGTCCTGAAGAGCGTGAGCCGGTGGTGAGACAGTGGCAGCATGGCAGTTACACCCAGCTTGTACACTGGACCCAGCCTAGGGGGCATCAGATACCGCAGCCTGGGTTGCCCAGGCCGGTCAGCAGCTGGCCATCTGAAGCGAGGGCGGAGCACAGTGTCATGGGAAGTACACAGCAAGTGGGGCACGGTAGTGGGTTTGAAGGGAGCAGGGAGGAAAGTGGTGTGCATACATCACACAGTGGGGGCCAAGTGCATCATCCCGATCACGCAAAGAGGCAGCAACAGTTGTTAGAGCATCAGCAAAGGCATCATCATCATCATCATCATCATCAGTCACATTATCCACAGCAGTACAACCACGGAGCAACGGAGGACCGAGAGCTGAGAACGCAGTATCGCCTCGACACTCCCCAGTCAGACAGTGCCTCACCCCCTGCCAGCCAAACCGAGCCACCCAAATTTGAAGAAACCTCCACCCTTCCATTAACAACCATTCAGAAAGACTTTGTGACCAGCCAAAAAAGTATAGAGGTCACAAATCACAAACAGGCTGAGACTGAAACAGCCAGTCAAAAAGAAGGGAACGAGAGGGAGGAAAGTGGCTCAGCCAACAGCGGGGACTCGGCCACCACAGAGCTGGCCAATCAGGGGAAGAAAAAAGACTCTAATGTGACCGGTGAGGACGGTCACTTAACAGAGGCAGAAAGGAGGCAGAAACTTCTGGAGCTGGTACAGAGAGAACCGAGTGAGCAGACTCATCTACATCCGCTTCATCCTCACCAGAGACCAAAGCCAACTACATTTAAAACAGGTACTGTTCAGATATGTGTGTGTGTGTGTGTGTGTGTGTGTGTGTGTGTGTGTGTGTGTGTGTGTGTGTGTGTATAAACAGCATTTTTGAAAACTGAATTAAAAAACCAAATTGTTTTTTTAATACATTTTTAAGTGGAAGGTGTGAAAAGCAAACTCACTGCTGGACAGATTTTTGGATACACACCACCACCCTGGATGTGTGGATTGTACTCAGTGTTAACAATCATTTTAGTTTTTACTGGAAAGACATATCTTGGTGGCCAGTGCTCTGTTTTTTCATATTTTGCACCTTTAAGGAACGTGGTCAGGATCCACATTAAAATCTAGCCGGCTCTTTCTTTACTCGTGTTCCACTGCTCCAGCAAGTTGCATGCAATTTGACAGTCAAGCAAACAAATGCCACCTGTCACACAACTCCACTGTAAGTTTTACCTCGTGCGCGTTCCCAGGCAGGAAGCAGCTCAGAGTACATGTATGACTAAACAACATGGCCACATGTGTCCTGCCATTCTTCCTCAATCCCATGAGAGCTCTGCAGTCAGAAGGCTGAACTTCTGACTGTGGGAAAACCTGCAGGCAGCCACAGGCTTTGTTACACAGGCTTCAAAGTTATCTGGTGCCCTGCAAGGCACAATTGGAGCCACTGCACAATTTCTATACCATGTGTTAATTCTTTGCTTCACTTACTTGTGCAAGAAAAGGTTCTGTGTTCAAACTTGGCCAAACAACTGCAGAAAAAAGTTGACTCATTCTGTTTCTACTGCCTGTTTTATCTCTTCCAGCTTCCTCTACGGCGGCTCCCATTTCGCCTTCAGCCCGTAAAGCTCCGTTTCGTCCCGCTTCACCACGCCGCAGGAGGAAGAACCGCAAACGCATCAGCAAAGCAGCCATTAGAGCTATGATCATGTAAACCTGCGAGGTAAGATCAAGGAGACAGACAGGTTTAAGGGTTAAGAGAGAGGTGAATATAAAGCTTTGTAGAAGGGACAATATTGTTTAACGTGAGGGTGGTAATCTGTGCACTGGTACTTGGAAGTCTTAAATGGAAGCTGAATGGATGCTGGGATCGCTGATAAAATAATTGAGCCATTGTCTGTGAAGGTTCTCAGTCATCCAGGTCATCGTAGTCTAAGGAGCTTGGAAAGAAAAGCGTCTGGACTTCTTTAAATGGCTTGAAGACATTTCACCTCTCATCCGAGAAGCTTCTTCGGTTCTAGGGTCAAATGGTGGAGAGACCCAGATTTAACCCCTGTGGGAGTATCCCCCCTTAGCTCATGTGATTAGGTAGAGGATCATTAGGGGGTCCTATTCCCCCTCCTGGGGGAATACTCCCACAGGGGTTAAATCTGGGTCTCTCCACCATTTGACCCTAGAACTGAAGAAGCTTCTCGGATGAAACGTGAAACGCCTTCAAGACTAATTGAGCCATTATTTTAATTACTAGTGTTAATATTTTGTTCGATAAAACGCTAAATGTAAAAATTCTGAAATCCATCTGCCACTGCTGGGTTCTGTCAGTAATTAGTAATACAGGAATTTGTCCATATTTAGTCTTCAGAGTTTTGTGGCAGCCAGCATTTAAATTCAAGATTCAAGATTCAAGCATTACATTTCGCTGCGTGTTATACTTGTATAACTATGCATGTGACGAATAAAGAATCTTGAATCAGCAGCAGGCTTCAAAAGCTAATACGCAGAAACAACAAAACATAAATTTGGTAAAAGTAAGGGCAAACCTATTATGTAGGGATATGCAACATACCCTGTAACCCAAGGGTTATTAGGTAAATATTATATCAGTGTAGACAAAAAGCTGACAGTGAACGTTTGTGACTTATCCGACTTTTCTTTTGCCTTTCTAACAGGAAGATTTCAGCCAGAAACATTGCTCCAAAGGAATGTGGAAACACCAGAAGAATGGGTTTCTTAAACGTTGGACAGTCCGGACTGTGTGGACAGAGCTGAGGGTGCAAACAGTGCTGCTGTTTTCAATGGACGGCTTCACACGGAGTCACCTGCTCCAGAGATGCCGCGGCCCATCCAGCGTTAAGGATTTTATAAAAGTGCAATCATATGAACTCTGTGGACCAGAGGGTGTTTGACACACTGGATTTTATTTGGTTGAACCACAAGTCCAGCTGATCTGGACTGATGAGTGGAAGTGTGTGAGGTGCTGAAACAGAGTCGACTCTTTTTGCAGTTTGCAGCCATTGATTGGCGACTGTAACACCTTTCACTTCAACCTTGTGGTTCATCAGATGGAGAACCCGACTTGGACTTGGAAGTTAAGTGTTTGGGTCTCGATTTGAGACTGGAGACGTGGAGAACTGGATTTTTACACTGGGGTGATAACTGGAAACTGCAGAGTGCAGCTCAGGCCTCAATGCCAAACCTTACTCTTATCCTAAAATGTCTAAAGTTATCTAACACTGGAGTAGCCGTACACTGACCATACAACACTGACTTTAGAGAAGTGCTCTACCGTGTACTGTAGCTAAATATACTGGAAAATATCGATAACCTGCTCATTTTGTACTACTGCCAGATCAAAATGGAATGGAATAACAGCTAAATGCCTGCTTAGATAACCTGCTATGAATATCCACATTAAAGCAAGTCTTAAAGACCTGGCCTGTTAGAGATCGCTGTGAGCCAGTTATAGCCAACACTGTATTGTATAAATGCTTTTAGAAAATGATCTCCACGGGGAAAAAAAGAAAAACTTTATTTCTTAACTTATTTAAAAAAAGGGGGGATGTGAAATCCTCTGGTTCTCAAGTGTAATTATTGTTGTTTCAGATTATAATTATTGGTTGTACAACTGTTACTGTAATGAATGTTATTTTTAATATAAAATAAAAATATTGAATGAATATTTTGTTTTCACTTGACTGTTCATGCATGCATGAGTCTCTAAATGGAGGTGAACGCATGCCTAATACAAGTGCACGTTCACGTGCATGTTCAGCTGTGTGCATGCGCCAATAAATCAGACCGAACCGATAATCCTCACCCTATGACTGCACGTCCTGCAGCTCTGTCATGCAAAGCAAGGTAGGGGTCAGCAGAAATGTCTGGTTGCTATAGCAACTCATGGACGGCCATGTCAACAGAGGAGTATCGTATGGTGAAAGAGAGACGAGGGAGGGAGGGTGTCAGTGCAGGAATGGCCAGAAGATGAACGACAAGGGAGGGAGCGGGTGAGGGCTCAGCTGGGGGTGGAGTGGAGCAGAAATGGCATCCGAGAAAAAACAAGAAGAGAGAAGGAGCTGGAATGCAAACAGAAAAAAAATTGGGTAGTAAAACAATCAACTCATTGAAATATACAGTTGTGAAACTATAGCAAGTAGAGACAGCAACATGGAAACTCGTTATAAAGATGATTTAAGAAAGAAGCAGTTTAAATGTCATTCTCTTGTGTAACGGGGGTTTCCCCCTGCAAAGCTAATTTGGTCAGCAGATTCTCTTCTTTAAGGACGATGACTCAGCATGTCCTTTACCAGGACCTGACATGTATAAACACTTCATAATAGCTCACATGTGGCAAATTTGCCTTGGAGATGGGCTGCAAATCTAAGCTTGAAGATTACTGTGCTTAGCTATATTTAGTATAGTAACAAACAAGATATTGCATGTTTTTTTTTTTGTAAAATCATAGGAGAAAGGCTGAAGAGTCTTTCCACTTTCTCTAGAACATTCCCACATAAACCAGAGGGTGTACCTCGGTCATTGTAACCAGGAAAGTTCTTAATTGAATTCCAACACAAAGGCCCACTTCCAGACTGGCCCCTACATACCTCCCACTCAATCATGTAGTGTAACTCTGTGGTTTCACACTTGTAGCTCTGGAGGGTCTCTTAGGTAAGGAGCAGGGTGAAACAACACAAGACTTCACTTTCTCTGACAGAAACAGAAACTCAGTCAGTGTTTCCTACAGTATTATAAAACTAGAAGATGGATCTTCATTGATCTAAGCGAAAAAACATCTGTTCAGTTTCACTTTCATTCTCACATGTTCTCTTTTCACCTTCCTTACTGTTTCGTAGCAATCCTTATAAGAACAGCAAACATTGCTGTGTGTATTTAAATATATTTCAAATTCAAATTCAAATTCAAATTCAAATTTTATTTGTCACACACACACAACCATACACAGTATGACATGGGGGTGAAATGCTTGTAGCTGTACAATGCCCAACCATTAAATGACAGAAGAAAGTTTTACAATATTTACAATTTACAGTTTACTACAGAATTTACAAATTAACTTAGGAATTTACAGTAAAGAATGTGCAAATAGCAGAAGAGATTATAAAGATAAGGATTATAAATTATAGGATTATAGGAAATGTGTGGTGGTGCGTGTGGTGACGTGTGTGGGGAGTCCAGTCCTACACCTGGTTCAGGGCCCGAATAGCCTGGGGGAAGAAGCTCCTCCTCATTCTCTCTGTTTTGGCCTTAAGGGAGCGGAAGCGCTTCCCAGACCTCAACAGTGAGAAGAGTCCATTGTTGGGATGGGAGAGGTCCATCATAATCTTCCTAGCTTTGGCCTTGCACCGCTTGGTGTAGATGGACAGCAGGTCAGGAAGCTCTGATTGAATGATGCGTTCTGCCGAGCGCACCACCCTTTGCAGATCTCGTCTGTCCTGCTTGGTGCTGTTCCCAAACCAGGTGCAGATGTTGGCCGTCAGGACGCTCTCGATGGTGCAGGAGTAGAAGTTCTTGAGCACCTTCAGTGGCAGATGGAAGTCTCTAAGTCTTCTGAGGAAGAAGAGACGCTGACGGGCTTTCTTAACCAGGGTGTTGATGTGGCAGGACCATGACAGGTCCTGAGTGATGTGGACACCCAGGTATCGGAAACTGTCCACTCTCTCCACTGGCGTGCCACTGATGATGAGGGGCTTGTAATTCCTCGCCTGCTTTGTAGTGAAGTCCACGATCAGCTCCTTAGATGCTGCATTTAATGCAGCATCAAATGTTCCTCATTACTCCTTTGTGTAATGAGGAACAGAAGCACCATGCCGATCAACTGAGATTTGCCAGAACACCCAACTTTGCTAGTCTGTTACTGGTGCCCTATTCTCTTCACAGAGAGAGAAGAAAGCGCTTGAAGGTGCTGTGGCGAATTTTATGATGCTGCCTGCAAAAGATCTGGAATGACCAGTTATGCAGTGCTATCCAAAGATACCCTGAGCGCTGTTAGTTATGTTGAATCCTGAGACGCTGTGCTGGTGTAGTGGCCTTGGGTTTTTTCTTTTGTTTGTGTGTGTGTTTTTTTGTTGTTTTTTTTTTACAATGGGTGGCCTCATGTGACCAGAGTGCTCAAGTAGTTTTAAAGTCCAGTTAAAGGCATTTATTTTCCCCCAGTCTGAATCGTCTGGGACATTATGTGTTGGTGTATCTTGCACCACCCAAATAGCATCCAAGAGCCCCCTGATCACTAGAGTAAAATCAGTCATGTGAGATGAGGAGAGAGCAATGGTCTGTGGTCACCACCTGTACCGCCTCTTGTTTTTGTTAATTGATTGATGGACTTATGCTTCTTAATTGGCCAGGTTCACTTAAGATTTATAAGCAGTGGACAAAAACCAGGTGTTACACCTTCAAAGAACATCATTAGTAAACAGCCACCAAATCAACAAAGACTCGGGCTTTATAACTCACTCCCATTCAAGGCTAGTAGGTTACTTAATGTGGCAGATATGCCATGTAAATGTGGAGGAGTGAGGAGGTGTAGGGCCTTGTTTGGATGTGGGCCATAGACAGCAAAGGCTGCACTGGCATGTTTGTTCCTCGACTGAGACGAGTAAAATGAAGACAATGGTTTTTCTGAGAAACAGATAAGGAGTTGTGGATGCTGATGTTCTCCCATCCACCCTTCATGCTCAAAAACAACCTGTGAGAACAAGCAAACAAAATAACAAAGCAGAAAAAAAATGCGGAAATGCGGCTCAAGCACACATAAATAAGAAGGTGCACGGTGCCATTATTTATGTGCTAATACTCCTTCATTCTTACAAATTCAGACAAACATGTTGTGAACTATGGCTTGGCAACAAATAAAGTCTTATAATGCTCAGAAATCAGTCATGTTTGTTATAAAGTTTACTCTTTTCTTACAGGATAATACTTGCGTTGGGTTGCACTTTGATATTAATTGACATAATGTGGACTCTAACTTTTATCGGCTGTCACTCTACTTTCCAAGGTAATTGCTCTGTTCTCGGAGTACAGTGGCAGAAAATCAATAGTGGGAGCAGCAAAAGCAGTCAGACAGTTAGAAAGGGCACCAAGATGCCATGCTCTCAAAGTTTGTAATTTCACTTGGTGAGTACTATGATATTGTTAGTGACAGGAATGAAAATAAGCCCTGTGCTCTAATAGGCAAGACTCGTCCTTTAGACTCATTGATTACCTCTCATTCTTCTGTTCTGAGGTGATCTTTAATGGACAACAGTTTCTCAGTGATTTTGCTGACAGCACTCTTTCAACACCCGCTGGATGTTTCTTGACCCCATGGTGTCAAGAAAAGACATGGTCATCAGGATAAAATTCAGTTTTCATTTTTTTTTCTTAGTTCCTCTAAAGTTCCTATTTCTTAATGACTTTCCTCAAACTACATACATTTACTTCACCTCTTCTTTCTTCTAAAACATGGCATTTCCAGTTTTGTTGTAATGATTTAGTTCTGTTCTCTTCTCAAAGTCATGACCCCGTGGTTTGGTCCAGCAGCCAACAGACATCTAGGTGCGATGTTGTGTGGTAGAGAGAACCAGTGAGGGTGAGCCAAAGTTCAGCCGGGTCACCGGGGCCAGATAGACTCTCTGCTGCCGGTGCGCTCCGATGTGTGTACGCACACGCAGGACCGGGCATGTGCGCGTCGCCGCCTGCCATGCCTGCGGTGTCCCTCTGACGACTGTGTGTGACTATGTTCATGTGTTGTGAAACAAATGGAGAGTGTGTCTCCTCGCATGTTGTCCCCATGCTAGCGGCTTAATGAGCTGGTAGCTGGCAGCCAATCACGGTCACCGGCAACCTCCGAGGTCGCACCAAGGCGTCGTGTGTAAACAGCGCAGCGGTCACTCCCACGTTTGACACACTCCTGACAAGATGCGCGCACGCACACACACACTTTATCTAGAGGTCACGGTGGTTAGGGCACAGTTTTAGCAGAAAAACATGCACAGATGATTACATGCAGACAGTATACACATGAGTAGACACACCTTCCTGACGCACCACTATGTGTGTTTGCGTTGTGTGCGCCATTACTGTATCTGAGGCGAGAAAGGACACAGACAGCAGGTTTCATTGCATGTGACTCAGAGAGAGTCTGTCCCAGCTGACTGCACTTGCTAAAAAGATTTACACACATTTGTTTGTGTATAAATATCTACAGGAAGAGTGTTTAACCTCGAATGCCCACACTCTTTCATGGCATGCATTTTCATTTCTCTTTGCTATTTGGGCTGATTGGGACCTGATGAATGTAAAAACAAAGAATTAGTGATGTTTTTTTTGTTTGTTTTTTTTTACCTGATTTTGGTTTCTGAGAAAAATTAGATCCACATATGAGGACATTCGCTTTAAGTTTCGATAGAAGAGTGGCAGTATAACCTCCTTGTAAGCGGATATCAGGCCCTTGTAGAGGGCCTGATATCAGTTTCAGTATTTTGGTCTAGACAACACAAAATGTGATGTCCACATACGTGGACGCCAGGTAGGAGTGCATACATATCTGTAGCGCGAGGAGAGGAGAAATTAAAGACACACACACAAAAAATAAAAAATAAAAGAAATCAGAAAGAAATTCACCTGAAATCCACAGGCTGAATGAGGGGAATACACAAACCAGTACATCGGGGAGTCTTCT